TTAAATAATATTTAAACAATACATGTTAGTTTATTAATTTTTTCACAGGAGAGAACATGCAAACTCCACCCAGAAGACCCCTGGACCGGGGTTTGAACCAGGGACCTGTTCGCTGAGAGGCAGCAGCTCTACCAGTTGCGCCACCGTGCTGCCCCTGTATATGTTATATGTTCTAGAATTGCGCCACTCAAGGTGGCTGCATGTTGGAGCAGCTCTGTTACTTTCATTTTGAGATTTTGCTTTTGGAATCTTTAATTCCTCTTTTTCTGGATGTAAATCACAATTTTTTTTTGGATGATTGTTTCCTCTGGTATCAGATGCTGTGCAGCTGGAAGGGTTTTTACTGAAACTTGTTTAGTTTTGGACATTTGTTATGATGCGTAACCACGGCAACAAGGCAGTTTTCTACAACCAACAGCAGCAGATTAACATCTCAAAAGCTCAAATAATAGCTCTGGGGGGAGTTCTGCCCAGCATTGGGGCGGTCCTACAGCCCGAGGGGAACCGAGAGGCCAGCCGAGTCTGGGTGGACGGATCGGACGGCATCTGCAGCCAGTTTCTTAGGATCCACTGTGGGATGGACCTTTACAAGAGATCCTTCCTGTCTACAGCCATCAGTATCTATAACATCTCTTAATGAAATGAGGATAATGAGTTACAACAACAAATAATTTCCCTCTGGGATTAATAACGTATTCTTGAATTGAATTGAATATTCTGGGTGTTCCCTGGCGTCTCCCCCCAGTTGGACATGCCTGGAAAAACTCCCTAGGGAGACGTCCAGCGAGCATCTTTACCAGACGCCTGAACCACCTCAGCTTCCTCCTCTGCTCCGAGTCTCTCCTAGATAACTGAACTTCTCACCCTGTCTCTTAAGGGCGAGTTCAGCTACTCTGCAGAGAAAACTCATTTTCACCACCTTTGTCCACGATCTCATTCTCCATTAATGTTTTATAAATATGTTATTTATCAGTTTGAAGACACTTAATAAAGCATTACCGTAATAAATCATTTATACATTTGTTATAAAACACTGTTTATACATTGTAGCAGTTTCACTAATTTGTGAGATCAAGTGTTGTACTTTTATTAGTTTCTGTAGGATTTAGATTTCAACATCTGTCAGAAAGTTGGCAGAACGGTGGTACAGTTAGTAGAGCTGACACCTCTCAGCAAGCAGGTTGCTGGATCAAATCCTGGCCAGGGGCCTTTCTGAGTGAGTTTGCATGTTCTCTCTGTGCATACGTGGGTTTACTCCGGGTACTCCAGTTTCCTTCCACAGACTAAAAACATGCATGTTAGGCTGACTGGTAACTCTAAATTGTCCCTAGTTGTGAGTGAGAGAGTGAATGGTTGTTTGTCTCGTTTGTCTCTGTGTTGGACTTGTAACCTGTCCAGGGTGTCCCCCCCCACCTCTCATACAGTGACTGCTGGATATGGACACCTGCGAGTCTGCAACCCAGACTGGAAGAAGCAGGTAAAAATAATAAATGAATGGATGAATGTCAGGAAGTTACTTGCATGAAACCACTCTGAGCATTTGTAGGTACAAATTCTGTTTTGGATATTAAACATAATTAAAGCGCTTTAGTTAAAGAAGCAAACTGAGCATCTAGCAAAAATGTACATTATCCAATCTTGCCAAATAGCCTCAAGTGTATGAACAATGTTTTGTAATTTTTATAAGTGCTTGTAAAGTGTCCACAAACTCATGACTAGAATAGAATAGAAAAACTTTATTGTCTGTCCCAGCTGGTGACAAATTCTTCTTTGACAAGTGCTCCCTCAGTTGGCATTCTCACACAATTACACATTCAAAGCCGTTTCACTAACTGTTAAAAAGAAAATCTAATTTTAAGGAGTTTAAAGTGGATATTTCAAATGGTATGAATGAATTCTTATAAATGTTTTTCCGGGCCAGTGGAACTTTACACCTTCTGCCTGATGGCAGCAGCTGGAATGAGTGATGAGGGTGAAATGAACCTGTGATCAGGAAGGCTACCCTAATCACAGGGGGTTCATTTCACCTTCATCCCAGGGCTCTTAAACAGGTCAAAAAGAGGTGTTTGTGCTAATCCAGTAATTTTCTGCCCTGGTTAATAATGTAAGACTGTTTGGTTTTATAAATGACCATGAGGAAACTATAGCAGGATAAAATAGCCTATTGTTATAGTATTAATAAAAGTGCCTTTATTTTGAAATGCTACCAATTCAGGCACTTTACTGTATATAATTTTTATTTTATTTTTTATTTTATTTTTTATTTGGACATTTACTGAATTATTTCTGATTTTGTGCATCTTTACATTTCACCCCCTCTCTGATCTGTTTGTTGTGACACCTCAGCCCAACGTATGAGAAAATGCTGACTGGAGAGGGAATGCCGCTGTCACAGGATCCATCGCAGAGAGGAAACCTCATCATTGCTTTTGACGTCCAGTTTCCAGTGAAGCTCTCCTCTAAAAGCAAGCATCTGATCAAACAAGCTTTGGGTCTACAAGATAACTGATGTATTCATCGCATGTGCTGCACTCCTACAAACTGTAATGACTTTGCCTTGTTACATTTAAATTGAAATATATGCTGAATCTAAAGATAAACGTTTCTTAGTACCAGCCTTCAGATAGACATCATTGACTACAGTGAAGCCACGTAGCTGTGATTTGCAGCCATCATGGCTCGTTTCAGCTGCTCATAAGTTACAAACATCACCACGTTCCAGGTGCCCAGCCGTAAGAACGATGGCATGAACCTAAAGAGACAAGAACATCCATTCAGTTCATTTTACCACAGTCAAGACATTTGATTTAATCCAGGCTCTGCTGTCATTGCGCACCCCTTATAAAAAGAAAGTGGACCCTCTTTGGTCATCATGGCGGTAGCACAGACGAGGACGCTGCTGTACCGGCCGGGAGCAGAGTTCATGTACCTCGTCTTGACCACATCGACCGGAGAGGCGATCACGGTCGTGCACAACCCGGCACCGAAGGCTGAGGCAAAGTGGCAGGGCAGGTTGTCTGTGGAGCACATGCTGAAGGTTACCACTCCAAACTCAAACAGCCCCATGTCTTACTGAGTCAGCGTCTGTTTACCAGTCAGAGGAGTGGACTTGAGAAGCAGATCCTTAATGAAGTCGTATGTCACCAGTTCCGTGCAGTTAACGATGGCGTTGCGGGCAATGTTAGGCATTGTACCTGGGTGAAGGAGTTCATGTTAACAGAAGCATTCCTGACAAATACTTTTATTTTTGAAGATCAAATTACCTTTCCAAAGCCCCCGAATGCCTTCTTCCCTACCAATGGTCTTGTAAGCATCAATGGTGCCACAGTAGCGTCTAGCGTGCTCACCGGACATTGCCTGAGCCTGAAAACGAACCTTCACCACATCTGTGGGCTGAGCAAACGCAACAGCCATGGCTCCGGTGGTGCATCCCGCCAGCAGCCGACTGCCAATGCCAACATCTGATTCGGGGAAGAGGAAGATGTCAAACTCAACGTATGTCTCAATAAAATAATTTACCTCATATAAAATATACTTACGGTCAGAGCCTCGAGTGTAGAATTGTTTGACAGAGTCGTAGAGACCAATACGGACAGAGGCGAAGCTCATTTGTCTCTGGAGTCCAGCCACCAGTCCACTGTAAAGACTCTGAGGTCCCTCTGTGCGCACCATGGTGACGATGGTGCCGAACACGCCACGATACCTCACTGAGCTGGCTGTGTTGCTCTCACCCTGGATCTTCAAAAATAGACAAGAAACTGTTTACCCAGGAAAACAGAAAAAAGCTAAACTGATCTGTTAAATCGTTATGGTAATAAGAACTAAGATGCTTCACATGTAAAAAAGTTGAGCCAAACGAAGCTTTAATTTACCTGCAGCCTCACTTTGGCCGTGTCCAGTGGAAAGGTGAGCAGGTCGGCGATGCAGGCTGCAGCTCCTGCTCCCACAAACTTTACAGCTGCTGACGGAGGCACATCTGCAGGTCCAAAACCAACCATTTCTACAAGCCTTCTGTTCCTAACAAAGATCCAGATGTGGTCTCTTTCAAGGACTAGAGGCTCCCCCAAAATCTGAAATAAATATTAACAAAGTAGTTCAAAGTTTGCTGTATGTCATGTGAAACATTATTTGGATTGCAGATGTAACTGGTGTGCATGATTTGCTTGATCCTTTATGATTTAATTCATATTTCTATCAATGTGGTGTCTTTAATAAGAGTCCTTTGTGATGCTGAACGAAAGACCCAGCTGCTTACATTTTCTGTCACTTATACACATTGTAAATTCATCCATCTAGAACTGTACATCTCAATTCTTACCTTATTTGGAGCCGGTTTATGTCTGAAACAAAGATCAGGATTCTCTGAAGGTATCCCGTTGGCTGAACTTTGTTCCAGCTATAAACTGGTCTCCTCGCTTTTCCATAGAAGATCCTTCAGAAACTTTAAGCCTCAAAATCATACTCCAAATCCTGGAAAACAAACAGTTCAATAAAAAAAGAAAGGAAAGGCGCAAGAAGGAAATCTTTAAAATAGTCTGGTTGCAGCATAAAACAATCAGTGATGGTTAAAAAAGATCATGTTTTTAGGGGACAGTATCTGAATGAATGAAGCGATGGCTGGTGAAAATGCAGTAATGTGGAGGAAGAGGGCCGCCTCTTTAAATACAGCCGTGACGTGGTTATATAATGACTCAACATGTTGCTGTGCCTCAGCCCAACACTTTCTGATGGTCCATCACACAAAGCTCTGTATGAGCAGACAGCATGTGCTTGTACGGGATGGACATAAATGCAACATTATGCTTTCCTGCTGCCGTTTTTACTTTTTTATATTTTGCTTTAATGATTGGTAGCAAAATTAAAATACAAAACTTGAATTTTGTTTTGTGAAGATGAAATATTTTATCTACATTTCTTTAACTTATTGACTGAGTCGGTTATTTGTTTTAAGGTCTGAAATGCATTATCAGGTAAACGCTGACTCATGCTGAACATACAGAAACTGCACAACAGATTAGAGCCACATGTTCAAAGCTGTAATGATTTCACCGCAGGCTTGTTTTTGGTCATAAGTGTTTCAGGCCCAGTCTTCCTGCTTTGATTAATGAGGTGCTTTCATGCACTCGCAGTTCATACTGGAGACTGATTCTGCAAAGACGTTTAGGTTCATGCCTTTCATGACCAGTTTTGTAATTAAATTTAAAAGTATTTGAGAGATACTGGGGTGGCTCGGTTGATAGAGCTGTTGCCTCTCAGCGAGAAGTTCGCCGAATCAAATCCCGACTGGGGACCTTTCTGGGTGGAGTTTGTATGTTCTGTCCATGCATGGGTTTTCTCCAGTTTCCTCCCACAGACCAAAAACATGCATGTTAGGCTGACTGGTAACTCTAAATTGTCTCTAGGTGTGAGTGAGAGAGTGAATGGTTGTTTGTCTCATTTGTCTCTGTGTCCCTGTGATGGACTGGAGACCTGTCCAGGGTGTCCCCCACCTCTCGCACAGTGACTGCTGGACACGGGTACAGTGACCCCCATGACCCGAAAAGGAAGAAGCCTGTAAAGATAATGTATGGACGGATGAGTGATACTGTTAAGCCCTTTCACCTCATTCTATTCTTTCTGCTCTGTTGTCTTAACCTGGGATTTAAATGGACTTTCTATTTGATTAAACATTTGCTCTGAAGCCACAACTGTTCCCTTCAGAAGCAACATAATTGATTAAGTAAGATAAGACAAGATAGAACTTTATTGATCCCGCAGGAAATTGTTGAATAAGCTCGACCTGTGGGTAATCTGTGTCAAATAATCTCAGTATATTTAAAATATGTTCTGATGGTCCCCAGAATCAACACCTTTAGTAAGAGCCACCAAGCTAGAGACATCATGAAGCCTAAGGAACTCTTCACACAAGTTAGAGACCAAGGTGTGGAGAAGTTCAGATCAGGGTTAGATTATAAAAAATGAAACCCTGAACATTGGACTGTCACTAAATCTATTATTAGCTAATGAACTAAAATATATCTCTTCAGCAAAACTGCCAAGAGAGGTCCATCCACCAAAAGTCACAGACTGAGCAAGGAGGGTATTAGTCAGAGAAACCTCCAAGAGGTCAAAGATAACCCTGATGGCGCCAGGTGGGTTCTTCAAGGATGAGACTACCTGTCTATAGGACCAAGGCTGGTCAGAGCTGGGCTTTGTGGAAGACTGGCAACAAAAACCCACTCCTTAAAGAAAATAAGACTTTGGAATTTACCAGAAGACAAACTGAAAAAGCCCGATCACCTCTGAGGACCAGCGTGGATCTTAGGATAAATAAAATCAAATGCTCATTAGATCATCCAAAGTATCTAATGTGGGAGGACATAGTGCTGAAGGAGGTCCATTCAGGGTCTTAGATGTTAACAATAAAACTTTATAATCAAATTTAAAACCAACGGAGCCAATGAATAGAAGCCAGCCCGCACTGTGGAGAGACTTTCTTTGTTAGTGTTAAAAGATGAGCTGCAGCGATCTGAACTGAGATTTTAGACTGGAACAGAGGTTTCAGCTTCCAGCAGAACAATGACCCTGAACACTGCTGAAGTGAGGAGAACCAGTTGAATGTGCTGGGATGATCCAGTCAAACTCAAATCTCAACCCAACTCAGAACTTCTGTTGTAATTCAAAGACAAGCTGCATCCGTCCAACATGAAGGAGCTGGAGAAGTTTGGCCATACAGAACAGGGTGGGGGTATTGAAGAACCTTGGAGTTGTAACTGCAGCAAAGTATTGACTTTTGGTATGTGCACGCAGCATTTTTCAGTTTTATAATTTGAATATTTAATACCAAATTTTGCTTTGTTATTCTAAAATATTTTGTAATTTTTTTTTTAAACTACCAGTAGCATTTAATAACAGGTTTCTCTTGTAAATGAGTCTTCGAGGCTCAATGGGAACTAACCTGTATCAGGTCTAATTTAAAAAAAAAAAGTATTCAAACTGAAAATCCATATACATTTTAGGTTGGGACATAACAAAACAGAAGGACCACCTAAGAGGATGAATACTGTTACAACTCTGTGAATATCCACATGTTTTTCCCGGGCCGGCTTCTGCAAAATTAGCTGCAGTTTGACAAATATAGCAAGTGCAGACATGTGCCGTCTCAGAACTGTAAGGTGCAATATTACGACTCGGAGTACACGTTGCCCTACATGTTCCTCTTTGCCTCTTCATACCAGACCAACCTGGCTGTGAAATTAGGGCAAAGAGCAGGTGGTACATCACGGAAACTGTTATCACATGATGTAGGTGTCAGGAAAAACCTGCTTCCTAGTAGCTAAAAACAATTGCAGAATTTGATCAGCCGATTCCCTTCGACATCAGAAACACTAAAGTCCAATGAACCGCTTCGTCTTTTATTGATCTGTGTCACCACTAGACGCTTCCAAGAGGCTAATTTTGATCAAGATTAAGTAATTTGTTTACTTAACCCCTTTAACCTAAGTCTAAAAATACTCAATTTTATCGGCTGTTCATTTAAATATAGTCTTTATTTAAGGTGTTTTAGTTGAATTTTTTTCATTTATTCAATAAAGCCACTCCTGGTAAAGTTAAAAAGTTTTCTGTTTAATTGTGCAAAGTCCTCATGACTCATTGACCAGCAATAAATCATACTGTTCACAATAAAAAGTGCTTACATTTACATTCAATAATAAATGCTGATCGATGTACCGGCAGCAATGGTAAACGATAAACAATCCACAGTGCAAACTGAAGAAAGTGCCATACAGTAAAAATTATCTCTATACTCATGGAAAATGACCCTAAATAACCTGCGTTACAAAACAACACAGTTCATGTGATCTTTCAGTTCATCTCAGTAAACATCAAAGTTTATCGCAAACCCACCAGTGGGTCAAGATTTAAATATGTCAACTTGAGATGAAGAAGTTGACTCTGAAATCCACAAATGTCTCTTCAAATCATCCTGGTTTTGTGTTAATGTTCTTGAGCTCTTGCCATTCAACAACACACCGAGTCCACCTCTGAGCCACATCAAAAACTTGTCAGTGAGCCGCATCGTCATGCAACGTCCTCTTTTGGGCCCTCTTCATTTGTAGCCATGATGGAGCATTTGTTGCATCGTGCTGCAGGTTAGATTGCTTTAGGCTTGAGGTCAAAAGGGTGACTCCCAGTACTGGTGAGCTCTGGTCAGGCCTCTTTTAATTTGTTCATAGGTCACAAACATCACAACATTCCAAGAGCCCAGTCGCAGGAAAGAAGGCATGAACCTGACGGAAGTAAAGCGAAGAAAGAAAAAGTAAAGAAGTGCTCCAAGTACCGGTAAACTTTATTGCATCGTTGTTTGATTCTTTGGCGTGTTAGTGGGTGTTTACCCTTTATAGAACGCTGCGGCTCCTTCGTGTTTCAGCATCGTGAGTGCGCAGTTGATGGCGCTGGAGTACTGACCATTTCCTGAGTTCATGAACCTTGTTTTGACTACATCCACAGGCGAAGCCACCACCGTTGTGCAGAAGCCAGCGCCAAAGGCGGCTGTGAAGTGACAGGGCAGGTTATCTGTAAGAGATAGAACCAGATTATGTTAAGAGGTGATGTTCTGTCTCGAGACTTTTGGGACAAAATGAGAAATGTGTTCCTTCTCACCTGTCATCAGGTCATACTTCAGGATGAGTTCTTTGATTATGTCATAGGTGACCAGCTCTGCGCAGTTAACAATGGCGTTACGGGTGATGTTTGGCATGCAGCCTGAAAGAAAGAAGATGATTACCTCAAAACCTGTAGAGAGAACCTTCATTCTAAAATTAAATTGGGTGTGAAAAGGCAACTACCTTTCCAAAGTCCCTGCACTCCCTCATATTTTGCAATTGTCTTGTAGGCATCCAGCGTGCTGTTGTACCTTCTCCCACCGTCGGTCAGTCGTACCTGAGCTTGGAAACGCACCTTCACCACATCTGTCGGTTGAGCAAAAGCCACAGCCATGGCTCCGGTGGTACAACCCGCCATGAGTCGAACAATAATCCCAGCATCTGCGGAACATGGATGTCGGTGTCAGCATTGAAGCAGTTGAACCTCGTTCATGAAAGACAATGAATGTCTTAAACTCACTCTCTGTGCCTCGAGTGTAGAACTGCTTCATGGAGTCATAGAGGCCGATGCGGACAGAGGCAAAGCTCATTTGCCTCTGGAGTCCGGCCACCAGCCCATTGTAAAGACTCCTGGCTCCCTCTGTGCGCACCATGGTAGTGATGGTGCCGAACACTCCCCGGTACTTCACTGCACTGGGCCCTGCAACTTTCTGGGATTCGCCCTGAATCTGTGAAGTAAGATGAGGTCCTTAGAAATGATCACAACTACAACATGCAAGAACCTCTTTAACACCACTCGTCTAACCTGTAGCCTGACTTTGGCGGTATCCAGCGGAAAGGTGATGAGGTCAGCAATGCAAGCTGCCGTGCCAGCTCCAAAGAACTTAATCCCTGCAGAGGGCATTATCACATCTGTCCGTTTGACGACAACCATCTTCACGTCTGGATTTAGCACACAAATGGAATGATTGGCTCTTAATGCTCTTTGCTTTTGAGTAAATTACCCACGCCCCCCCCCCTCACATAGAAGACAGAGGAGGTTTGCTGCTCAGTTAACAGAAATGTGTTGAGATGTTGTACATACCTTTAAGAAGTGGTGAGAACAGGTATCAAGTTTTCTCAAGAAGCAGGCTGGTCTTTGGAATAGGCTCTGTCGTGGAAATGCCTTCGGCCATAAACTTTATCAGAAGTGAGCTGGCCAGCATAACACCTCTCACTGAAAAAAAATCAAGAATTAATCACCTGCTTTTCAACCACAGAGTTGCATGTGAGATCAGAATGTGATCAACACACCAGTTTAATTTATATTAGACGAGTTTACACATTTTAGTTTAACATAAAATGATGGAAAACATCATTAAAACAGGCCTACCTTAATAATTTTCCAGAGAATTATAATCCAGTGAAAACAAGAAGGTATGCAGTCCTTTTATCATTTGTCTATCAGGTATCCTCTACAGATGCTGGGCTTACTGCCTGACTGTGGAAGGAGCCCCTGATTTTATAGGCACCTTGTTGCACGTGACCCCCTGGCAGCCATTGACTTGTTGACACCTGTTGTTTGAATGTCGTGTACCGGCCTGTGGCACAGCCGGATATTTGAGCACTTGTTGACCCGTTCCCGTGGAGTCGTCATTCAGTCCCGGGAAGGCTGATTACTGATAAGTATTTAGAACATTTTCATGCAATTTTGCGGTTTCTTCCGCTAAATCTTTGCACAATAATGCATGGATGTAATTTAGGTTTAACATCCAAAGTTTGATCTTTTCAGGAAATTTCCATTTTAACTGCCAACACGCCGGTCGTGTTACAGACGCTGGCGTTACAGAGTGTTCCCCATTTTTCCATTGGTTGATACTCTCAGCCAAACAAACTAAGAGGTGTGTCTGACTTTAAATTCTTTTACGAGGCATTAGTCTGGCCTTTTCGACTATCATTATACGTCATTATCATTATGTTTGTGCCCAAGAACTCAAGTCAAAGCCAAGTCAGACGTTCTCATCCCTCCTCCACGTGACCCAAATTATGAAACGGCTCTGGTTTAAGGAACAACCCTTCTTCTCGGCCAATCCTTAGAACCAGCCGGGGTGGGAGGATGTGTGCAGCATCTGAGTGTAATCACTCAGGCCAATTGACAACAACAAAGAAACAGGATGCCAAACGGAAAGTTTGAGAAATTGTTCTCTCTGTGCGCTGAGGCCTTTTCACAGAATCTGTTCACGATCTTAAGAAAGTTGCTGCTACATGAGGCACGGTCTGTTTGATTCATCTAAATTTGATGATAACTTTAATTTTGATACCAAAACGTCATTTTGTTCACATAATGCTGCTGTACTTTTTTGAAATTTATATGTAAGACATAATTATTTTTTTATTCTCCAAATCACCAAAGTAAATAATATTTACAGAATTTAAAAGAAGTGGTTTTAATAGTTTGAAGTGGTGCTCTGTAGAAAATTTCTGATCTATTACCTGATGTGGAGTTTAATTTTGACCAGATTGACGAGCTGATGAACTGAATGAGGACCAAAACTGATGGCTGCCATCTTAAAATAACTTCACTCTATCAAATTTTATAGCAGTTTGTGCAAATGCTGTTTTGTTAGCTTTTATGTTGCCATCATTTTCACATCACCGTTATTCACATTAGATTTTCTGGTTATTTGTGAAATCAAATAGTGTGCTATGTATGGTCATCATTGTATGTTCCCATATGATGACAAAATTAGTTCTCTGCATTTAACCCATCACACGTGAGATACACTCAGGTGGATCAGCGAGCAGCTATATAAGTGCCCGGGGAGCAGTTAGGGATTAGGTGTCTTTGCTTTAATAGCAGCAGCTAGCTGTAGTGCTTCCAGTGCAGACTGGAGCACTTGCTGCAAAAAATATCTCGTCAATGTCGTTGTATTTAAATAGTGCATTTAAAAACAACATTGATCCAAGTGCTGCAAAAGGAGTTACGAACAAAAAAAGAAGGACCATAAATAAAATTAATTTAATTTAAATTTACAAGTATAATAAAGTAGGCTAAAAACAAACTAAAACACGAAAATATCACAACTGTCATACCATTTCTGGTGGACTAAATGCAAAATTGATGGTGGTTTAAAGTTTAGTAGACAGTCTCGGCATAAACTGCAATGTTTTTTCAGACTAGAATACTTCCGTGGTTGAATTGTGTACACATTTTCCTGGTATAATGAGATTTAGTGCAATATACAAAGCACAGGAACAATTCTGTGTCATTCGTTTGGACTAATTATTTAATGTCTAATAAAAAAATGGCTGATCACAAACAGATGTTGGTTTTAAATGACAAAACACTTTTATAAAGACTGACTCACAAATACAAAGTAATACACCCAAAAGAAGCAATGTAAATTTAAAACTGCCAGCAACAGTTGTGTTTACCGTTTAGTAACTCAGCACAAAACTGTATTTTATACATTATAAAGAATAAAGCATAAGGCTTTTTTTCTTTGCTGGAATATGGTTGATTTACATTGCTTTAAGTACATTTTCAAGGTGTTTGTTGCTGTTCACGCCTGTGCTGCTGCAGATTTACTCCAGAACTGTAGGTGTCGCTAAAGAGACAACAATGCAAAAAAAATAGCAGTAAGTACAGGCTGAAGAAGAGCATCAGTACGGGGCTGTTCTACCTGTACAGGTACTATGCCAGGACTATACCCTGTGTATAAATGTACACATATACATACTTCAGGCTGTAGGGCCTGCTCTTTTCAGAGCAGGGTCAGCCACATGGATTCTTCATTTTGCTCTGTTTTGTGTATCGTCAGTTGTGAGATGGAGTGGCTTCATATCTCACTGGATCATATCCATCCCCCTTTTCTTTTGTTGTTCCCTGCTTCGTTGACCAAAAACTTCTGTGTTTAATAGCCATTTTACCTTGTTTTCATCTTCCATTTGCTGCACATGCTCGTACCATCTAATTTTTGATTCCTGTATCTTATCCATGATGCATGCCACACCAAGCGTTTTTCTGATATTGTCCTTTCGCCGTCTATCTTTTAGGGATACTCCAAGAATCCCACGTAGCATCCACATTACTGTTCTTTCCAGGAGTTCCTCTACCTTTCTCTTTAATGTCCATACTTCAGCTCCACAAAGCAAGAATGGGCTCACCATCATCTTGTACACTTTTCCTTTAATATGAATTGGCATCCTTTTGTCTCAAAGCACTCCTGTCAATCCATTTTTGCATTGCCCCACCAATTCTGCGTTTAACGTCTTCTTCACAACTTCCTTTGGCATTTATCACCGACCCCAGATATTTGAATGTTTCGACCTGCTTCATTTCCTCTATTATCAGTAATCAGTAATTGTTAAGGTCTGTTAGCTTTTGCACACCATGGTCTCTGCTTTTTCTGTCTTTATTTTCAGACCTTTACTCTCAAGTGCCTGCTGCTGCCACAATCTGAAACTATTTTGGAGATTAACGTCAGAATCTCTAGCCACAACTAGCTCATCTGCATACAACATATCCCACGGCACTTCTCTCCTAATAAGCTTGGTAATTGCGTCCATCACAATGATAAACAACAGTGGACTGAGACATGAACCCTGATGAATGCCAACTTTAATCTCAAATGCTATTATGTTGCCTTTGCCAGTACTGACTCTTGTTTTAACACCTTTGTACTTTGTACATGCAACTAACAATTCAAACTAGCTTCTCCGTAATGTCTTTCTGTCTGAGGCTCCAGTAAACTCTCACTGGGCTCTGTTGAAAACTTTTCCAAGTTCACAAATGTCCAATATCTGCTATTGTTTCCCTCCAAGATTTTTTCCTGAACCTGCCGGAGAATGAAAACTGCATCAGTCGTACCCTTTCCAGGCATGAATCCGAACTGGTTGGAGTGTATTTTACCTGGCTGTATTATATAATGCTACCAAAAACAACAATGACATCATAACTCCTGAGAAATTGTATTGTTCCATAACATCATGCCTCTTGGTGCGTCCAGCCAACGATTGGTTTCATTATTGTGTAAAAATAATAACTAAGAATTAACACAAGTGTGCTAATTTAGAGCTAGAATTAACTTCAATCCAGTCTAAAAATGAAGGAGCTGTTTTCATCAGACCTATTTAAGGGTATTTTAAAAGAGTTTGAGACACATACATCACGTGTTTCATCTAAATATATTTTGGTCAAATGTAAAGATGCATACTATTTTAAGGGAGAGATTTTATAGTCGTTTTTGTTTTGACCAGGACCTTTTTGGAAATGAGATTTTTAAACTAAATGAGTTTCACCTTATAAAATAAAGGAAAAAAAAATTCTCATTGAAAGATACAGCAGTAAGGAACAACCTGTCCAAGTGCCTCAGTCTATTTCACAGCCCAGAGCCCCACTTCAAAACATATACAAACAATCCCTTTAAGCGGGAAGTTGAGTAAGAAATTATTTATATTAAACGGACATCTTTGCATAACTGTTCCAGTTTATTTTGTACTACCATGGAAAGAGGAGCACACCATCTGCTATCCTCGCTCAGTGCTGAGAACAGTATCTTGAGAACACCGTGTGGTTAACCTTTGAGCACACTGTCTGGCCAGTAAACACCTCACTGGTCCGGCTTCAACCAGCTTCCAGACCCACACCCCTCCCCATCCCATCCCACCCCTCACACACACTCCTACAGCCCCTGAAAACGACACTAAGCAATCAGACTCCTGTCACCGCTATGCTCTCTACGCCTTTTGAATACTGCGAACCTTGAGTCAGTGCAGTGAAGCAGATCCTTTCCATGACAAAAATAGGAACCATAACACTGCACCGCCAATAGAGTCACTGAGTCACCTAAAAGGTTAGTAGGGCATAGAGCTTCGGCAGTTCTTTCTTTACCCATGGACCCAACTGTCTGAACTTGTTAGATGTAGGGGAAAGGGCACTGAACTAGAATGATCGAAGTTAGTCTGATTCAAGATGGCTGCAAGAGCCAAATGACCTGAGCAAACACAAAAACAGTCGTAACAGTTGATTTTACAAGTAGATTTAGGTGTGGTACAAGCTGAGACATCCCTAACAAAAACTTTGAGCTCTACCATACCATGTAAGGCACTTATTTAAAGCTTGTCTGTCGTCAAAGTATTCTATGAGCCAGTGATAGGACTTTAATAAAACTCTAAAAGTGATTGGTTGTACATCTACAGCCGACTGACTTTTGAAGTTAACCAGTTTTGATGGTTTTCAAAAGCATACGTAACTAAAACGCTTGTCAGTTTTGCAGCTATTAAACTAAATATTGGTGTAGTGGTAGCTGAGAGTCATCCCAAACACATACTTCTGAGTGCTAAAAGATCATAAGACCATTTGTTAAAACGTAAGGCAAGTTGGATATCTGCATTCCTCAAGAAATAGTTTTGTTGAATTTGTGTAGATTGAAGCTGGTGTAAATGATGCATTAACACACTTGCGTGTTTCTGTGCTCTATTTGTCGATATTCAAAGAACATCTGAGTCATTTGTACTTTTATAGAAGCTTTTTGCGTCGGTCCTATCTCATCATTTCAGCGTACAGTACTTCACAGCACAAAGGAAAAGCTGTTTCAACGGGAGACACCAGATGGTCCCACATACCAGGCGTGACTCAGCAGTCTGCTAATTGTTCATACTTGGCATTTGTTGGTCGTGTTTCTTTTCAAGGCTTTTATTTTAAACTGTCTGGCTCTGGAGGAAACTGAAAACAAATCTAAGCTGCCAAAGCTGACTATATTTTCCAGGAACAGATCATTTCACGAAGCAAACAGCACAACAAATATTTAGTCAACGAGTCCCAAATATGAATATTCAACGAGTGTCCATAAGACCAAAAATATATAACACCACAAAAATAACTATTTATTCTGATCATAAGAAAGTCATGCAATGCCACAAGAAATGTAAATAAAAACAGAATGCAATCATTTGAATAATTTTTTTTTTTTTACAAATGGCAACATATTAGTAACGTTTGTGGGTTTATTAGAAGTGTCTATTAGAAAGTAAAGATGCTTGAGCACTTTCAGAGATGTAGGTTGTATATTTAGTTAAAAAATCCAAAAAAACAAAAAAACTCAGGAGCTGGTTCCAGATAAGCGGAGCCTAAAAACTAAAGGCTCTGACTCTCAGTCTTGTCCTCAAAACTCTGGGAACAGTTACACCTGCTTACTGAACATGAAAGGCTAATGTATTCAAAGATTGAACAATAAATTGAGGCTTCGTCCTCAGTAATGAGGGTGTTGCTTTGGTCTGTTGTGGTGAAGAAAGGGTTGAGTTGAAAGGCAAAGCTCCTGATTTACTGATCTGACAAGTTTCTCACTTATGGTCATGAGGTTTGGATCATGATCAAAAGAAGCAGATCGTGGATGTATGTGGCCAAAATGAGCTTTCTTTGCAGGGTGGCCAGACTCAGCCTTAGATTTCAGGTGAGAAGTTAAGTAGAGCTGCTGCTCCGCTGCATCGAAAGGAGTCAGTTGAGGTGGTTTTGACATCTGATTAGGATGCCTCCCTTTGGAGGATTTCTGGATACATCCCACTGGGAAGAAACTCCAGGTTAGACCCAGAAATCACTGGAGGGATTGTATATTTTCTCTAGCCTGGGATCCTCCAAGTGAAAGGAGCTGGAGAGTGTCTCTAAGGAAAGGGGTGCCTGAGTTTCTCGCCTCTGCTACCCGATAATGGATATGTGGTAGAAGATGAAGATGGTTTTACTGATAAATAAAACTGGGCATCATCAGCGTAACAGTGGAACTGTACGTCGTGCTGTTCAAAAATCCATCCATCCATCCATCCATTTTCTTTGCCCGCTTATTCCATTTTGGGTCACGGGGGTCGCTGGTGCCCATGTCCAGCAATCACTGTGCGAGGGGCGGGGTACACCCTGGACGGGTCGCAAGTCCATCACAGGGCCCTGTTCAAAAATAATATATTTAAAGAGAAATGTACTGGACTTAGTCTCCAACCCTGTGGAGCACCATAGTTAACTAGGTGAAGAACACATCATTAACATGCATTAAGGGATTATATATGTTCCATATGACTAGTCCAAAGCAATACTCTTAATCCAGACAATCTATCAATTCTTTGTAGTAAAATACTGGTGAGAACAAAGTCACCTTTACGAACGTCAGTCTTAGTAATATGATGTATCTCACTGAATAAAATCCTTCACACAGACCTATTTGGAAGCTCTGCCTATAAAAAAAAAACCACTTGCTGTTTCTTGTCTCTAGTTTGCAGGCTTTCAGTTACACATTTCAATTTGGAAGTCAAAAGGTGCTACCCACTATGTGGGATTTGGTAAACTGCCTTTGAGCCATGAAAAATACATCACAATGCAGTTTTCACTAGCTGAGCTGCACCAAGCATGATAAATAAACTGAACATAAGTAAAAAATTTAAAAAAAAATCCTTGTAATTTAGTTGCTATTTTCAGAATAGTGTGTACTTCTACTATCTCAGGTCTCTCTTGTAAATGAGTCCTGGAGGCTCAATGGGATTTACCTGTCTAAATAAAGGTTGAATGAATCTAGTGTTCAAAAACATACGGTAACTGTGAGGATGTGAGGAAAGAGCTGTTCTAAAATGTGGTCATCTTATACTTTTACACAAATACAGTACAGAATATTTTACATTTTTATCTGATAAATAATAAATGTAGTTAAAGGTGGGGTCCAACAGACTGTATGTGTTAATAATTTAAATGGTCTAATTGTTGACGTAAGACTGATTGACCAAGCTTTGTAGATTCTATTTTTTTAGGCTGAAGTTTCAATTCAGTTCACTTTATTTATAGAGTGCCAAGTCCCAACACAAGTTGTCTCAGAGCACTGTACAAAAACATGCACATACTTTGTACTTTATAAAAGCTAATTAGTATACGCTATCTATGAAGCCAGCAGATTGCATTGAATCTTCACTTCATCACAGTTTCCCATCCTAAACAAGCACAAAGGCAACAGTGGAAAGAAAAAACTCCCTTTTAACAGGAAGAAACCTCCAGCAGAACCAGGCTCAGGACGAGCAGCCATCTGCTTCGACCAGCTGGGGTTTGAAAGAACAGGAAGGAGAAACAAACGCAGAATGGCAGGTCCAGGTGTGCTTTCTATAGGAAGAAAGACAAAAAAAACACATTAAGGATAGAAATAATTACAAATACAAACAGGTAGAGTAGACCAAGACAGCAAAGTGAGGAAATGTGGTCAGTTTGTCCTCCAGCAGTCTAAGCACAACAGCAGAACTAAGGGATAGCTCAGGAAACCCAAGCCAACCCTAGGATTGATCAAAAAGGAAATGCATAAACTAATTACTTATTAACAAATGCATTGTTCTATAACACTATTTTTTTCATTCAGCCGTTTCCTCTTCAGGGTCTTCACAGCGAGTCCTCCTCATCCATCTCACTCTGTCCACTCTCCAACTTCATCCTCTCTAACTGCATCCATGTATCTCCTCTTTGTCTTTCAGCTGCATTTCTAACATCCTTTTATCAATATACCCACTGTTCCTGTCATGGACATGTCCAAACCATCTCAGTCTATCCACTCTAACTTTGTTCAACCTGTGCTGTACCTCTGATGATTTAATTCCTAATTTCATTTATTTTTAATAATCTCGAGCTCAACATCTTCAGCTCTGCCTTGACTGGTTCTGAATTGTTCAAAACTACTATGACTCGTCAGCCTGACCAAGAAACCTGAGACCTTTCAGAGACGTTCTCCTGCTTTGACTGTGAGGATGCAGATCTGGTCTTGTTCAAGTTCAAGCCAAGTTTATTGTCACTCACATCACATGGGGTATATGAGGTGGAACAACATCATGTACTCAGGGTCCCAGTTGCCTCCAAAAATAGCAAAAAATTAAATTAAAATAAAGCAAAAAAAAATAAATTGTGCAATATAAATATTGTGCAAGGTGTTTTGCAAGTTATCATGTATATTAAAAAAAATATTGAAGAGAACATCTTGACCCCAATACATTTGTGTGCATTTGTTGTATTTGTCAAGTAAACAAGGACAGCAGCTAAACAAATCTCCTGAATTTCTTTCATGGTTTTGGTTTCGGTGCTGCCTCTTCCAGAATTTTTAGTGGCCCCCACATGGCCACCCCAATAAAAAAATTCTGGAGGTGTCACTGCAGGAAACAATCATCAGAACTGCAGCAAATTGACATTTTTACATTTGCTAATGTGCATGCTTAAAGTTGATGTTTTGCAGTGCATTGTGGTCTAAAAAGGATCTACTATTGGTTCTGTAACGTCTCACATCTTTATGTTGCTTTTGCGTATATTTGTTACGATCACTGACTCCTTACCTTGACTATCGCCTCCTTAACTTTTGAATAATTATGAGAAATATTTTAATTTTTCTCTTTGCGTTCACTTTTATCAACAGTTGGCATGGATCTGCGTTCATAACTCAATTCAGCTTCATTCATTCACATTCCTTGTAGGTGTGGTGGCGCAGACGTTAGAGAAGGTGGGCCTGTGATCGGAAGGTTGCCAGTTCAACTCCCTGAACTGACATGAAAATATGGGTGGAAAAGGTGAAACACCCACACCTGCCTCCACCCTCATTTCCCAGCCCTTGAGCAAGGCCCTTAACCCCCATCATCTGCACCCAAACAGGTCTCTCTTGAAAATGAGTCCTGTGACTCAATGAGACAAACTGTATAAATAAATGTTAAATAGAATTTAAAAAATAAAATTCAAACACCCTGCAACATTACACGTTGAGGACAATTTTCTATCT